TAGAAATGTTCTCTGCATTGTTATACCATTTTCACCAATTTGGATTGTCACAGCAACAAGTATCTTTACAATTTTACTCAGTCTCAATGTAGAAAATGACAAAATTTAACTCACTGGACCATATTAATTCTCCACAATTTGCTCTCTAAGCATCACTATAGGCATGAGGGTTCTGTTTGCATCTGGTTTTTAGACTGGTTTTCTTTGACAGTTTATGTAATGTCCTTCACAAAGTACAGTTGCATATGTTGATGAATTTGGAAAGAACTGGTCATTGTAACACAGTTTGACATGTGTTAAACTATATAAACTGGTACAAATATTATTTCCTTCCCTCTGTAACCAGTGATTGAACATCACAGCTTCTCCAAGCAACAGACATAATCCTTCTTAAATGTCAATGTGGGCAAATTCTAATGATATATCTGGTCAAAGAAATGTTCTATAATAACAATGTTCCTTTTAGACAGACACCAAATATCGTACCCCTTTGAAAGTTGTGACAAACTCCGATATAAAATTAATATGCAAATACAGGACACTTGCAATCATCTAACACATCATTTTATCTACTTTATAAGTACAAAGAAATGAAGTGTTCTACAAAAGAGTGTGGAAGGATCCCAGTGGCCAATCAGTGTAGTTTTAATTTGTACAGTGAATTTTTTTGCTTTTATAATATTAAAATCTACCAAACATAAATTAATATTACAGTTACCTGTTCTGTTTCAACAAAATTTGCCACATGCCCATCGTCATTTGTTCCCCTGACATTAAACCGTGTCCCAGCTCGCTCACAACTAAGACGAGATATTACACATGCTCGTGCTTGTTGATGCCCAACATATATGGTTTTCATTTCAATACCTCCACACATGGCTTTAATTAACCACTGAGCACAATCCACTCCATATCGTAACAGATGAATGTGTAACATACGGTTCCTAAATAAAGCACACAGGTCATACTTCAGAAAAATCCTAAAGAAAATAATGACAAGTGCCTAACTTCTGATGTGTCAAGTTTCAGTTAATCCTACTGATAAGCATTCACAGGTAACAAATAAAATATGGTTATATAAATACATAATTATTTAAACTTCACAGTTAGAGTATATTTGAAGATCAATGCTTAAAACCTTTTCTTTGACAAAGCAAATTCTCTCACTCATTTACAATTTATTGTGTCTCTAGCTTGGAAAATCTTGCAGTCTAATGGAAAAGCATACATGATAATCCAAAATGACTGTTGATAAAAATTTGAGAATGGGACATGTTCATGTTAGAACATGATTTAATTGATGTGTAAATTCATTTCTTTAAACTTTAAACATAATTCACTCATTTAATTACCAAAAAATAAGCAATTGACAGAACAAAGAAACATTGGACATTTCCGCATTCCACATCAATAGTTTCAACTCATAAATTCCAAATGCATTTTAACATAAAATTAATATATTTCACTTTTTTTTTATGGAAAGTAACACAAAGAAATTAACAATGTACAACCTGAGATATCTTTTCTTTTTTTATTCAAGGCATCATAAATTTGTTTGTCATGCACCTGAAGCTCAACATTATTAATGTATCATGAACATTACTAAACATATGTGTACCACACTTTTATCATACATTTGATATATTGTTACTATTTATATGTTTTTGTTAAGTTTTGACTGTATCAAAAACTTTGCTTAAATAATAGCTACATTGTTTTTGTAGTTAGAATATTAAGAACTAACTTTTTTGAGGTCTTAATGCTGATGATGGTATTTGAAACAATTCCAAGATGTCCATAATTAAAGATGTTTTTTGGTATTACTATATGTTTTACACCCGATGAATCAGTAATAAGAAATTAAAATTTTGTTTGCTTATAAAATTGAAATTACTTTACAAAAGCAGGAAAGTAATATGTAAAGTACAATAGTGTCATATGATTTATTAAACTAGTATTTAAAAGATTTGTATTTGATTATTAAGGAAAGTTAAATACAGTATCAAGTTTATCTATACAGCAGAAGTTTAAAGAATTATTTGAGTTCATGCTGTTAATAAAACACTTGATTCAAAATTTCCAAATGTCCTTCATGCATTGCAGGGTATGCATCATTTACCCATAACTCTCTACTCTCCCACCTTCTATGTGATTTAATGAACAGGCATCACAGGATTTTACATAAGCCCTGTTTTCTTGCCATAATTTAGATTTTATTGAATGTTGTAGCTGTGATAAAAATTTAGTTGTGGGGAGAAAAGGTATTTGAGGGGTAAGTACTTATTTGAATTTTATTTTATTTCTAAAAAAAATTTAAATTTAAATTAGGTAGACTTCTGAATACTGAAAACCAGAATATCCACATTGTAAAAAGATGTGGGAGCTGATGAAAAGAAAAATATAAATCTAATGTTACATGGCAAAATAATAATAATCCAGACTGCAAGAAATATGTAGCTAAGAAGAGTTTGATTAGAATCCAGAACCAGAAAGTATTTTATAGAATGGAATTTGAGGGAGAATGGGTGGAGCAGACCAGTCTCATAAAAAGACTGGATCTAAAGGACACTTACGAAGATGACATTCTTCTCAGTAAGGTCCCTCTTCACCCATGACACCCTTTAATTCAAGCAAAGGGGTCACTTTTGTTAGCAGTAATGATTGAACCTAGGGAGCCAACAGTGGGTTGCAGGTGGTCGCATAAACAGATAGAAGAAATATTATGTTCTGCACCAGCAAAGGGAAGATTCTTAGGGAGCAGCCCAGACATATATTATGAAGGGATATATCCAGAGCCGGTAGCCCCTCTCCATCCATATCAAAATTAGCAAGTGATTCACTTACACAAATGGCCAAGTTAGTGGGTGATCAAAATAAGAAACAAAGAAATACCAAGCAGTCTTTAAAGGTGGGTTCAACAGTGTGAAAACTGTATATTGGGAATATCAAAACATAAACAAATAACAAAAACATGTATGATCTCCATTCTGGTTGGAGCTGAGACATCTAATGATAATAGTAATATTATTTCTAACACGATAATATGATACAAGAACATGCAGGCATAGGTGAGAAAGGTACCTTCAGAGGCATCATCAGGAACTAGATTGAAACCTCTGTCCACTGTCATGAAGCTCCAGTGTGGGGGTGGAATTCTGTCTAAGATAAATGCTAAGGTGCATATAGCATGTGAGAGCAATAATTAGATGAATCCATACATGGGTTCTCACAGAAAGAAAGACCATTATTTATATTTTATTTTTGTTATATAAATTCAAATAGTAGCAGGAATAGCTGCACCAGAAAAAACATTGTAGCAAAGTTAAAAGCACAAATGTCAACAAGAAAATCTAAATTGTGGCAGAAAAGCAAACCCTATATAAGATCTCATGGCACTTGTACAATATGCCGTGTGTATGGTGGGAAAGTGGATAATTAGGGGTAAGTAATACAGCTGAGCAATATGTAGAGGACAATTGGAAAGTTTGGTTTATAGTTTTGTTAACAGAACAAGTCCAAACTCAAATAGAAAAGGCCTCAGTATTTCAGAGGTACGTTTTCTTGATTTTAAATATTCTCTTTACACTACTTGACATTTTGTCCTACTTCATTTTATATAACAAAACCAATGTCTAATTTTTTATCTTATCACACATGCATACTCAGTCTAAAAAACAGACCAACTCAAATTATGATTATGTATTTCATAATTACATGCTACAATTTGAAGTTTTAAAGTATTACACTTAAAATTAATTTAAAATCATTACAAAACAGGGGAGTACCATCAGCTACAGATCTCACCAAAAAAATCTGTTATCAGTCTCCTGGGTCCACATACTTCTTTGGGCACAAAGAGTTAGGTCAATGGGGTCATTTACAGTAGAAGACCATGAGAAGTAGAAAGTACCAGAATTAAGAACCTTCCGCACCTCTTGGATTCGTTCCAAGTCTTGTGGATTGTTCCTCAGAGAAATAAAAGCAGTTTCAGTGATGCAGAAGATTTCTGAGTGGCCCAGTTTTCCAATAGATAGGCACCCCATGACAAGAACTAGGTACAAAACTGTAGTTTCTCCTATGAAATATTAGGATAGTTATAAAAACTTTATATTTGTTGAGATAAAGTTCATCTTATAAAAAAATTATTTTACATATAGATACTTCCATTTTCAAAAATGTATTTAGGTTTTTGAGTCCTTAAAATCACTTAGCACAGAATAACCATAGCTCAGTCTTCCCAGATTATTGCAATTTGTTTGGGAAAATGAGAGATACTCCTATTATGCAAGTCATCTTTGAAGTTTTATTTTGTGAATAAAAATTAAATCTTCCAAGAATTGGTCTTTATATTAGGTATGGGTAAATCAATTTCCATATGAAAAAATGCCAGCATGCACTGGAACACACTACATAATTTTAATTGCAATTAGCCTAAAAATCATCAGCTCAAATTTTTTAGAACATTTCCTCCACACTAATGTATATTAATGTTAAAGCATTTGTACCAAAAAATAAAAGTGTGCATTATTATATTGATAAAATTAAAAACAAACAAACTGGATTAAAACATAAATTACAGAGGCCAACATTCATAGGTTCATACAACAAGTCTCTTGCCATGCAATTCCAATTTTGACACCAGAATAATTGTGAAAAACAAAGAAAAATCAAAAACTGTCTACATCACTACTTGGAAACTGCAAGAAGGCATTTTTGTACCCAATCCATGTAAACTGGTTAAAATAGGACCGAGTAATTGACCGAAAACCTCAAAATTAGGCTTTTTGTGAGCTCTCCATTTAACTGAAACAAATATGAAACATAGCCTAAAACTTTAACTTTACATACCAAACTTTACATACTGTGACCTTCACAACTAGTCTGGACATCTACAACTTCTTGTTAGAGGAACAACATACATTCACTAAAGAGAAGATAATCAGCTTGGAAGAACAACTCAAACACAAAAATCACATTAACTCTGGCACTGTACACCCAATCAATAACCATCTTGAAGATTATCCTGGACAGCTAATTATCTCACTTGGACTCAACTCAAATACCATGATACAAGAGTAAGTACTCCATCCATCTAAATTACTATTATAAATAAGAAAGAAGGCTTCCCTAGATCCTTTACCAACTTCATCTAAGTAAGTGCAGCCATCCAAGAAGAATAAACAATTGTTGGAAAACGCACGTGGCTTTATATTGTTACTTCAGTAGGTAAAACATTCTCCTTTATATCTTCAAGTGTTTTTTCATTTGAAATACCAAACTATAAATTCCATTGAATATACAAGTACACATATAAAAGTCCTCATTACTTTTTTTAAATATCTACTTCACACACACACAGAGTTTGTAACTTTGAGTTTTTAAAAGAAACAATAAACTTGAATGCAAGTTATTAAAAACATTTGGTGGCACTAGCTAATACAACAGTTATGTACTAGTCATCTGTGTTGAGGCATTTATCATCACTTTTTTGTACCTGTTCTTTTTTTTTTAGGAAGAACTTTTTAAATATTTTCTCCTGGAACACACAAGAATGTTGGTACATCATTACAGATCAGTTGCATTCCAATACTACTTATTTCTTTTTTTTTAATTCTTAGTTTAAGATGAAATACAAAGATGGATGGTTAACAGATAATATCCATCTTGGAAACTAAGAAACATATCTACTGTTTTATGTTTGCAGTTTCAACTACATAATTTACTTTTTCTTATTGTTGACACATTAGTAAACACACACACATGGATATATGGTTTTCCAACAGTATTTATGTACACATGACTGCAAAGAATGTCTGATATGGTATGTGTTTCTCATTGCCAATAAAACTTTTATACTTCTGCGTTTGATTTCTATTTTGTAGTGAATTTAACTACAGTTTCAACTCATACAAGAATGACTATGCTTAATTCTATTTAACAGATAAAAGAAGTGGAACGAGCACCATGGATAAGCATCAAAATCATGATCTAGTAAAAATATTGCTGAACCAGACTGTGTCTATGTTGTCTCCAGATGAAGATGAAAGGATGATATTACAGGTCCAACTCCAAAACACTTTAAGTTCATAACATTTTGGAAGCAGAAAGAGTTAACACTTCCTTTTAACTTGTAGATGATACAATCAACCAAGCAACTAGATGAAGTTATATAAATTACAATATTGTCACAGCTGTTGATTTAAAATTAGCCTTTCTCAAAACATAACTGGCTTAAGAAAGTGAGAAAGGTGTGTCTCACTAACTGAACTATGTAAAAGAATGATATGGCATATTTACAAGAAAAAAGTTATTGAGGGCTTTCCCATATACTGCATGTTCACTTTAGAGTAATAACCACTTAAAAGTTTGTGTATCTCTTCTATTATGTACTTCTTACCCTTTCGAGACTGACAGAACCAAAGTAGAAGACATGACTGTTTGAGAAGATCAGCATAATAAACAGAAAGGTAGGAACAGAGGTTCAATATCCAGCACACCAGTCTTAGGGTAGCCACAACTCAACTGAATGATCCATAAAGCCAATCAGTACTACAAGTGAGAAGCAGGTGGGGGGAAAATACTGGGATGGACCAATTAGCCCTTTTGAGCATACCACCATGAGTACTGCCATGTGCCCAGAATAACAAGGATTAAGCCAGAAGAGCTGAAAACTGAAGATACCGTGTAAAGTATCCAACTACAGCTTTTAATGCCCATTAGATTACTTTCTGTAAGTAACTGCCATGATGTGCGTATTTTCAGTACACAAACAGCTGTCAAAGTATTGTTTTTCTTTGCAATTGCCTTTATTTACAACAGCTTTTAGTGTCCATTAGATTACTTTCTGTAAGTAACTGCCATAATGTGTGTATTTTCAATACATAAACAGCTGTCAAAGTAATGTTTTTGTTTGCCATTGATTTTACAACAGCTTTTAGTGTCCATTAGATCACTTTCTATAAGTAACTGCACTGAGGTGTGTATTTTTGGTACATAAACAGCTACCAAAGTACTTTTCAGGATGGTGATTGGCTTAACTAAAGAGTAAAAGGATTAAGTGCAAGGAGAATTTTGGTGACCAATAACTATTTGTATATTACATATTTTATGACTTGATAAATTATATCCAACAGTTACTAGCATACAGACATGCCAACCTTAGCTCATTTAGTCCCAACCAAATCTGGCATAGAATTCATTGGTATAGATAGCTAATAAAGAGTATGGGGTAGTTATTACTGTTAGCTTAAAACTGAATAACTCAATTATTTTATTATAAGTTGCAGCTTTTACAGTAAGAAAGATTATTTTTTAGAAGAGGTACAGCACTAGTGTGACCATTCTCAAGCACGCAAGTTTTAACAGTAAAAAAGGTTTACCATTAAAACTTTTGTGCTTGAAAATGATTGCACCAATAATCAAAATGTCATCCCTTTTCTAAAAAAGGTTCTCCCTTACAGTAAAAGCTGTAACTTGTAATAAAACAATACTTATAATCAGTAAGCAAACTCAAAATGAACTATGAATGTTTTTAAGTTATTTAATTATTTAGCTTTTCTAGAATTAATAGCTACTTACTGTTCTAAATAAAACTTAAAACCAAGTTGGAACAATTTAAATTTCTAAGACAAAGGATACTTTAAATATTACACTTACCCTTTTGTAACACAACTGTCTGAGATTTAATCTTCCACAGATGTTTGGTATATTATCTCTAGCTGAAGAGGGTTAACAAATATTTTACAGTGTAAATGATGGAATGATGGGCTATTTATATCCACAAAAACATCACAATAAATACGAAAAAAACATTCCTTTTATAGAACTTCTTAGAATTATATTCTTATGAAATACTATTTAGACAACCTTCTGGATGAAGTCCATGCACTAATCTGCAAAAATCCCAAGCTTAACAATATATGATCCTTCTGTTGTAACATTGAATCCCATCTTTAGTTCAAATGTCCAAGTTTTCCTATAGTGTCTGTTGGTTGTGGTAAAGCCAATCAAGTATTTGGACAACACTTGCAACCCCCACCAGGGACCAGTTGGACACAAAATTTAAGGAGAAGTCACCTCATCTTCTCTGTATATTCCAATACAGAAAGATGTGGACCAGATGATGTGAAACAAAAAAAAAAAACGACGAATCATCAACTTAAGCTTCTTTTTTTTAATGAATACAATAAATTTTAAAATATTTGTTTTTCTTTTTTGTTATACCTAAAAAATGGAAAAACTGGTCAGGGAATGGCTCTGTAGCTATAACTGCAATGATATGTTTGATCTGACGATTAACTTTAGGGAAAGTATTGTACACATTTGATTTATGTTTTGTTTTTAATTATACACAAAGCTACACAAGGGCTATCTGTGCTCTGCCCACCACGGGTATCGAAACCCGGTTTCTAGCGTTGTAAGTCCGCAGACATTCCGCTGTGCCACTGGGGGCTTTTGATTTATGATTGCTCAAATACTGAATTACTCGTTCCACTTCTGTTATTTACCCTTTTTTTTTTTCACGTATCGATCTAATTGTCTTATTCTTCTCTGATTGCCGTCTTTCAGCTTACTTCGTTGTTTTTTTTAGTAACTGGTCAAAATTGTCATTTAGCTAATACCGCATATGTTTTTATTAATAGGCTGTTTAAAACTTCAAAAAAAAATGTTTTGATAAATAGATATTTACATAAATGCGGGATTCATGAAACTTTCACTTTTAATTAACCGATACCAACAATCATAAACGAACCATTTATCCCATACACAAACGTGTGCAGTTGTAACACGCTACAAAATTTGTACGGGAAAGTACGATAACAAAAAGTAAACTATAAGATACGAATAATAAACGTGAATGCCACCATGGGGATGACTTATTAGATAAATTTTACAGTGCTTAGCACTGCACCAGCACGTGACTGTCACATCTTCTCAGGTAGGTACAATGTACAAAACAAAAAAAAAACACTACATCAATTTTTTTTTAGTTTTTAGAGTAATGTTTAAAAAAAACATTTATTTTCTGTAAAACGATCAATATTATATTTATAGGTTTGTAAACATTTTCCTATT